TTCAGGACTTTCCTTTCCCATCATCTGTATCGTCACTCTCCTCTCAACTCCCTCAAGAAACTCAGCTTTTGTTAACACCCTGTGGTAGATAGAGAACCCCAAAAGCTCACGAGTTCAAGCTAATCTTCTAGGTCAAGAAAGAGGAAGTGAAGGTGGAAATTGAAGACATAGGGCTTCAAATAAGTGAGAGAGGAACATATAGAAAGAAGACAAGAAAAAGAGAGAAAAGATGGAAGCAGAGACAGATCAGAGAAAAAGGTGGCGATGGAAAATAAGGAAGAGATGAGAAAAGGGAAGAGATATAGTAAGATAAAATTAAAGACACAGAGACAAAAGTAAAGAAATGACAAGATGGATGGAGATAGAGAGGGATTAAAAATTGGAAGGCGATGAAAGGTGCAGACAAGATAAAGGCGACGACTTTTATTGAAAAATTTTAGAAAGTTTTAAATGATAATTAAAAGGAAACGGAGAAGTAGTTAAATAAATAATTACTCAATTAAATTATAACATATTATATACATTATTTATGATCACATTAATTAATAACATTACATAGTTAAATGATTACATATTATTTATGATTTATAATATTACATTATAAATTTAGTAATTTAGTATATTATTACATTACAAATAAATGATTAAAAATTTAATTAATATAACATACCTATATATTTATAATATATTACTTAATCAATTATAACATTCCATTATAACATTATTATATATTTAATAATTTAATTTAATTACTACAAATTTAAATTTAAATTTATAGTATGATTACTTAATTCATTATAAACATTATATATATATGATCACATAATTAATTGTAACATTACATAATTAAATAATACTTAATTAATTATGACATTATATTATAACATTAGTAATTTACTAATTTACACAATACTAATTAATGATTAGAATTTATTAATTATAACAGTACATTATAAATTTCAGTATGATTACTTAATTAATTATAGTATTCTATTTAAACAATATTATAATACTTAATTAAATGATTAACAATTTAATTATTATAATTATAGTATATTCTTAATAATATAACATTACAATTTACATTGTAGTATGATCACTAATAATTATAATATTACATAATTAATGATTACTTAATTAATTATGACATCATATTATAAACATTAACATAAATATAATTAAATTATTAGAAATTTAATTGATTATACATTACATTATTGTTAAATAACTACTTAAAATAATTATAAATATTTATAATGTTACTTATAGTATGATCACTTAATTAATTATAACATTACATTATAATTTAATAATTACAACATTAATTACACATTAATAATTACTTATGAACATTATCATTTTAATATTAAATTTATGAGTTATGAGTTACATTGGACACAATGAATGAGTAATCAAAATTTTTTAGGTGTGTATCTGTAAACTTTTAAGATATTTTTGTCATTTTTTACACTACTAGGGGGTAATGGATTTTTTACAAGATACCCAGGAAAGGAACCGGAACCTGAACCGCATTTTTAGGTTCCAGTTCCTTGAATTAAAGAACCTGCACTCTGTAATTCTGATTCTAGTTTTTTTTTTTTTGGGACTTACACTATAACGGTTTTGGTTTCCTGAAAAATACAGGGTGCCTGGAATCGCTCACCTTACAATAAGCGCCTGCTGAAGATGGAGAGGACCCTGCAGCAAGAAAAACCGCGAAACTGTTAAAGAGCTCAATGAGAAAGACGAACAATGAAGGGGTCTACACGATCTTCCTCTTGCCCAAACCGAGCAACCGATGACCAGAATCGTGGAGGTTATCATTCAGAGTCAAATCCACTCATTTACCAGCTTGGGCAAGACATATCAATCAACCGTCTCCTCTCATGCTCAAGGTCTGACTATGGCAATAGCGGCATTGAATAAGCATTCCCATCTCTAATTCAAAGCGGAGAACTTTATAGCTGACGCGGGGTATGGGTATCGTTGAACATTGGGTTTGCAGAAATTTCTTCAACTCTGCTTAATTACATTCCATTATTGTTCTCCAATCCCCATGTTCTTTTGTTTCTCATTTCATCATGCCGCCGGAAAAATAAACAAATGAAAACGACGCCATTGTTTTCTCATTAACCATCTTATACGTCATCGATGTGCTTTCATTGGATGACTTAGAACCTGCTTAACTGTTTTATTGCCCTCTCTGCCTAGAGAGTAGGGGTGGGATAAATAATCCGAAAACCAAACCAAACCAATAATCGATCCAAAACCGAACCGAAAATTAGGTTTTTTTATAAACCGGTTCGGTTTTCAGTTTGCAAAATTCAAAAAACTGAAAAACCATTTCGGTTTTCGATTTGAAAAATATTCCAAACCGGTTTTTAAACCGGTTTTACCCTAACTATATTTGAGTTTATTAATGAGTATTGATTATTGAGTAATGTGTAATTGAATGTTATGTTTAGTTTAACACTGCCAAATTAAATTTAATGTATTTTTCATACAAAGAATACAACAATAATACAAAAATAAAAGGGAAAAATAGTATGAAAATTTATATAAAATAATAAATATTTGAATTTAAGGACTTAAATGAAACATTGAAAACTTTTAGGGATTAATTTAAAAACCGGTTAACCAGCAACCAAACCGAATATTCGGTTCAGTTTATAACCGATCTATATAACCGAAACCAGTCCGGTTTTTGGTTTGCATTTTCTCTAAGCCGAATAACCGGTTCGGTTAACTGGAGTATCCCACCCCTACTAGAGAGGCAATATTTGACTCTTTGATTGCAATTCCAAATGATGTATTTATATTTCTTAACTTATCAGAAAGAGAAGATGGTGACCTGGGACCTACAGATGGACTCCAGGGAAGACACTTTGGTGCCAGGTTAGTTATTTTCTTTTATCGTAAAGGAATCGCAATTCTTTCTCAAGTTCCAAACATCCTCTCTTATGGTTTTAATTTGCAGATATACGCAGGCCAATGATACAATCAGTTGTTGGATGTTACTAATAAAATCAAGAATAGACCAGATGATAGAAGAATTATCCTCACGGCATTGAATCCATCAGATCTCGAACTAATGAACCGTTTACCTTCTCGCATATTTGCACAGGTCTGGAACATGACACATTACTTCTCTTGAAATTTTTTTCCCTTTATTTTCCATTTAATGCTATATTTCATCTCATTCATGACCTCATAAAAGAATATTTCCACGTGAATTTGACTTAATGAAGTTCAACAACCCAGAGAGAGTAACCTGTTTGCCAATATATTTGAAATGTTGTTCTTACATCAGATTCCGTCGGAAGAGGAAGAGCAAATGACGGTGGCGAGTGGTGGTGAAAGACAATAGCCGGTGGTGTTGGTGGAGGACAATTGATGGTGGTAGAGTGGGTTTTGTAAAGGATAAGCCTAAGAGGAGCAATGACTAACGATGGGAGATGGTGGTGGAAGACAATAGCCGACGGTGGTGTTGGTAGAGGATAGTCAGCAATGGGAGAGTGGGTTTTGTAAAGGATAAGCCTTGCGGTGGAAAAGGAACAACTGATGATGGAGGGTGGTAGTGGAAGACAATAGCCAACGACGGTGGTGGTAGACGACAATAGATAGCGATGGTGGTAGAGGTGGGTCAACAGTGGGAGAGATTTTTCAATTTTATGGTAAGCGTTCTCAATCTCAATTTTAGGGTTTCTAACGTGGGAGAGATTTTTGATTCAAGGTAACGAGGCAATTAAAATTTTGATTTTTTTTTTAACCTTTTTGGGGGGAACTGATGTGGCAAGGCTGTGATGTGGCAGATGAGGTGGCATCTGCCACGTCAGTCAGGATGAGGGTGTTAGTAAACATAGTATTTCTGTTTTACCAGAAGCCCTGCAAGAAAGAATTTCTTGTTTCATACTTTGGCCAAGTATTTGCCCAGGAATCGTTCCTAACTTGAAATTTTCAATAAACTCCTCTCAAAGTATTCACAAAGCAATTCTTCAAGGTAAAGTTAGAGATGACTTTGCATAGCCACTATCCGGGAAAGACCAGAATGATGGAAACCTCCCCAAAACTCACCCAAACCGTTAACAATAGCAGCCAACAGCTAAGTAAACCAGATGAACAATCACAACCACAACCAAATCAACACACACAAAACCACAATAATCAAGGTCAATCAAGCACACACAATGAGAAATTAGAGTAACAATGAGCAAAAGAAGGGAATATTCATTGAATGGAAAATAGAGCCAACTGGTATTCGAGGGCCAGCACCTCCCAAGAAGTCACACACATAAATCTCAGCACAACCTCTCACTCGCTCGTAATCTCTCTTTTATTCTGATATTCAGATTCTACTAACGGCCTATGCCACCTGTCCATATGGCTAATTACCCTTTTTGCCCCCATTTCCTTAACGATTGTACCACGTAGAAATACCAGGTCCATCACAGAACCAAAAACTACTCAACCTACAGGAATCTCAAACATGTTTCCAATCTTCTAAACAGCTCACCTTCACCTAGCTCACTGTCAAGGGAAACAATGACCCGTGCTCCAAATAGGATAACAAAAAATCCCCATTGCCGTGATTGTTTTAAATTAAATTTAATGTGAGTTAACACAGAGGCCAAAAACTTACATGTCAAAATCTCAGTTGAGTCAAGACAACAAAAATGCAAAGTAAAATGTGAAAATATTTAAAATATTTAACTAAAATTATGGTTCCTTACCAATTAATTCCTAGACTTCTTTCTTGAAGACTTGGATGAAGCCTTGGATTGCTGTCCAGCATTCTGTGAAGCTCCTTTGGAACTACTAACTTGGCTTGATGTTGAATTTGAAGCATTAGAATTAGTACCTGAGGCACCAGCTTCATGTTTGTCTTTAGCAACTGCACCCTGAGAGCCTCTCACTTGAGCAGCTCTCTTATCCTTTCTCTTAGGCCTGTAACTTGACCTCTCTCTCCTGGGGAGCCACCTTTCTGGGTCTNAATTCTATGGACAACACAAAAAATAAGAGCAGATGTGCTCAAATTCCAGCTGCAGAAAGCAGATATATTAGTAACTCACATTGAGTCTAGTGCTGCTACTAACCCATTTTGCAGCAACAGAAATAGGTGAAGATGAAACCCTCTTGTCCTTCAACAAGGCAAGATCATCACAATCTGGTGCTGGCTCCATACTGTTCAACACATCATTGTTATCTTTCTCTTCTTTCACATCTTCCAGTTTCCACTCTCCACTTTCAATTCTCTTCAGTTCATCCAAAACAACAACCATGGGAGGTCTCATTTCCTTGTTCTGTTGCAGACATAGAAATGCCAACTCTGCAACTAAAGTTGTCATTCTTCTAACTTCTTTATTTGATAGGTATCCAAGGCGTGGGTCGACCAGCTCTTCGATTGCACCTTTTTGGATCCTGTTTATTGCGAAGTAACCCAAGTTGATCTCATGTCTGTTCCTTTTTTTATCAATAGCAGGCATTGATGAAATGAGCTCAATCAGAACAACTCCAAAGCTATATACATCACTCCAATCAGTTAGCTGATAACAATGATAATACTCAGGGTCAACATAGCCTGGAGAACCCTGTGGAGCGGTTGAGACATGAGTAACATCAGCTGGGAAGAATCTTGAGAGCCCGAAATCAGCAACTTTTACACAGAAATTGTTGTCAAGAAGAATGTTTTTAGTTTTCACATCGCGATGTATGGTATCAGAAGCATGGAGGTAGGCCAATGCACTAGCTGTTTCTATTGCGATCTTCATACGAATAGGCCATGCTAATGAACCAGGCTTCTCCAGATCACGTCTGAGATGATCTGCTAATGAACCAGGCTTCCCAAGATCACCTCTGAGATGATCTGCAACAGTTCCATTGGAAACATATTCATATACAAGAAGGAGACCCTGCTGACTGTGCTGTGAAGTGCAGCCATATAGGGACACAAGATTTCCATGGCGCAAACGCGTGAGGATTTTTACTTCATTCATGAACTGGTTAACCCTTTTGTAATTGTTCTCATTTAGGCGCTTGACCGCAACTTCCCTTCCATCTCGAAGTTTTGCTGATTGAAAAGGATCAAATAGGCTATTTAGCAACCTGTAAAGTGTTCCAATTTCTTCCTTCTACTAGCATTTAGCAAGTACATAAAAAATTGTATCTTCTTACCGTAGTATACCGTTCCAAAGCCTCCATTTCCAAGTACTTTCTCATCACTAAAATTGTTGGTGGCTTTTGCAAGTTCAGAGTAGGAGAATATGGGGACCTCAAAGTAGACACCACCCACTTCCAGGTCTGATCTTGAGGAGGGATCTGAAGAACTATTTCTTGAATTGAAGCTTGTGGAAGTATGTTTTTGTTTCTTGCGTCGCCAAATAATAAATATCGACAGAGCCACAGTCAGAATAGATCCTCCAACTCCAATACCTGATCAGGAGAAAGAAACGCTATAAGCTTTTTTACCACAACACTTTTTTAGAGGAAAACCACAAAATACTAATCGAATGTTTATCATTGAAAGTTGCAGAGAACCTTCAAGAGGTGTATTACCTATTCCAAGGCGTAGCTTCATATTAGATTTTCCATTTCCTGCAATAAAAGTTACAGAAAAAGAAATAGTGTTAGTTCAGAAACCCAGTTGGCGAAGAGAAGAGTTTGTTTGTTGGAATAGGTATAAAAATTAATGCAGCTCATTCAAATCTATGAAATTTGACAAGTAAAATATTAAAACAAGAAACCAATATGTAAAACATGGAAAGCAAAATATGTAGTAACCAGGAACCGGTCGTAGTACTTCACCGTGATTTGTGATGTGTGTTCTTCGAGGGTAAGATATATTGGAGTTTGTTCTTCCTGTCACAGAACATCGAAAGTTTCCCTTGCGATCAGTTTGACATTGCCCTACCGCAAAAAAACAGTCATAACATTCATCCGTTACATTCACTTTCAAAGAGAACCAACCCGTAAACAAATCAGAGTATGTAACACTTTTCTGAGTCTTATTCACTCGGTAGTTTACAGGTGAACAATTATGAGGGCTTGGAAATTGATCACTTGGCCTACTGTAGAAGATATAGGAGTGTTGGGAATTATTGCAGCCAAAACGGAAATTTTGGGGGAGCCTGTAACCGCGGGGGCATTGGAACACTGATTGATTGTAGGGCAGATGAAAAGAGAGAAAAGGAGAGATGGGAAGAATTAAAGTTTTCAAGGATTTGGGGCTACAATTCTTCAACTGTTCTTCAGAATTTTTGTCATAAAGCTTGATCATATTATCCTGAGAAATGGCTGCAACATTAAACCACGGCACATCCTTCCCCAACTGAATCTTCTGAACATCTTCAGTGCAGTTATCTACAATCAGCAACCCACACTCCGGATGCGTTCGATTGGAGAAGGGGAATCTAATATCGCCCAAGAAACCACAAGGGAAACCTGGACATCTTTGATTCACTCTCTTTTCTTCTTGAGCCAAGCAAAGAAGCAGAAGTAAAAAAAAAGAGAAAACAAAAAACAAAATGTAAGGGAGACGAACCATCTCCACTCGGTAACAGAAGTAACAACAGGATCAATTATTGCTATTTCTGTAGTCTTTTGCATTCACTTATTTCTCAATATAGAACTTGAGTTTCTGCACTCACTTACTTCTCAATATAGAACTTGAGTTGCCTTATCTATTCAAACACGCCAGTTGACTTGGAAATTACATAGAGAAGACTTAGAGAATCAGAAGGAAACGAGCGCAACTTCGGGTATTCCTGAAGGTTACCCGAAGACAAATGTAAAACCTCTGTATATTACTCTCAAAAGACTTGACCGATTGACTACTCTGGAAAGACCTTTCTGATGGATTTCAAGTTGTCTTGCCCGCTGCTTGCTTTACGCGTTTAGATAAACGACAGGGAAAAATGAAAGATCTTGGCTCCATGATTAGAAATTGATAAATTAATGGCCATTAAGTGATTCTCCATCTTGTTCATTACCAAACAAATTAGGAACCGTTAAGAGAAGTTTTGGTGGCCCTTTTGAAAATTCAAGAGTAAGGTGTGAAAAGGGAAAAGGTGTTGAACACAAGTATCAATCACAATTTGGGTGTGAACTCATAAAAGAGGGTTAATTCTCAACAGTAACACTGATAAGTAGGCCATGATTTGAACAGTTACAGAAATGAACACTAGTATAACAATTGCAGACCCTCAAAAAAGAACAAGAAGAGATAGCTACAGTAACTACGAATTTACAATGTGTTAGAATTGGCAATCACTTCAACAATAAGAGATTCGTCTGTAAGGGGCAACGCACACGGGTCCCACTGCCTGGTCAGTGGGGAGGACAGGGGCAGGGCCCCAGGCCTATAAGCTGTTTAAGCTTGTACCATGAATACCTGTTATAAGATTTCCCTAAAGAATAGAACTCTTAATCGTAGTTTTAGATTTCTCTTATTATATCTAATATATAAACACATTATTCTCTTGTATAAATGATAGACTAATAAAATATTGAAATAATATCGTAACCCAGATTTGAGTGAATCAAAATAAATTGCACGTATTCTTTTTTATTACTATTTTGTTCTAACTGTTATTTTGTTGTTTGCATGTGTTTGGTTTTCTTTTGGTTCTAAATACTCTTTAGATCATTTCACAATGTACATTCCCTCTTGCTTGAAGCTTGGAAAATGACCACTTGGGATACTATAGTGGATATGGGAGTGTTGGGAGTTCTTGCAGACAAAATGGAAATTTTTTGGAAGCGTGTAAACTCTGGGCATTGGAACTCTGATTGATTATAGAAACTACATTAAATGGTCCAAAACTCTAGAGATGTTTCGGTGGTCCTTTTGAAAATTCAAGATTAAGGTGTGAAAAGGGATAACGTGTTGGACACAAGTATCAATCACCATTTGGATGTGAACTCATAAAAGAGGATCAATTTTCAAAAGTAATATTGATAAGTAGGCCATAATTAGAACATTTACAGAAAGAGTAAATCTGAATTTTTCCCATCCAAGGTTTGTCTTAATGATACATTCCCACCCATAAAGTTTCAAAATACCACTTTCTCACCCATAAGCCAGATCCGTTAGTAAATTTTGTTAACTACAGTGTATATTCGCTGTAAAGACAAAGCCAAGCAAAAGAACAGATAAAACAAAAAAAAAAAAAAAAACAGAATGTAAGAGAGATGATCCATCTCTACTTTGGTAACAGAAGTAACAACAGGATCAACTATTGCTACTTCCAAGGCTTTGCACTCAATTCTTCCTCCATATATAAAACTTGAGCCATCCAAATACGCCAGTTGACTTGGAAATTGCATAGAGAAGACTCAGAGAACCAGAAGGAAACCAGTGCAAGATGGGGTTCGCTCAAGGTTACCAAAAGGCAATGCGAAACTTTTCAACTCCCTTACTGTAATAATAAATGAGTACTACTACAAAAGACTTGACCGATTCCCTACTCTGCAAAAACCTTTTTGATGGATCTCAAGTACCCTTGCCACTCGCAACTTGCTTGACACATTTGGTTTTGGATAAAGGAGACAAAGAAATGAAAAATCTGATCCCTTTGTTTAAAAAATTCATAACATAATGGACAAAATATGATTACCCATCTTGTTCATTCCAAACAGACAAACTTATGGTCCACAAACTTCGGATAAGTTCGGTGGTCCTTTTGCGAATTCAAGAAAAGGTGCGAAAAGGAGAAAGGGGTTTAACAAATCTTGTTGGAATTGTCGACAGCATTAATGGGTTACGCAAACACATAAAGGAGTCTCATAAATGGTTTGGGTTTTTTTTCCATGTATAACTGTTGAAAGATTTCTTTAAGTTATTTCTTATTAGTTTTGAGCTTAAGAATAAGATCCATGTAATACTAGGTTTTAGTCTTTCAAACCTAATATATAAACTCATTTTTCTCTTGCAATGGGTGATAGCAATCATAGGGTAAATTACTTTATTGTAAACGAGAGGTGAGACAATATTGACTCTGCTGGACATAGTCTGTTAATTGGGTAAACTAAGGTAAATTGCGCTTTATCTCTTCTCTTGTTTTACTGTTTATGATTTGTCTGTTTGTCTGTTATTTTGTTTTCGTATTACTCTCTATTTCGTTCAACCGTATCATCAAATGATTAATCCTCAACTATAATACCGATAAGTAGGCTATGATTGGAACATTTACAAAATATGAACAATAGTATAACAATTGCAGAGCCCACGAAAAGAACATCTCCATTTATCCATTTATTATGAATTTACAATGTACCTTTCCTATTGCTTTAACCTACACATAATGTAGGTAGTAGGTACAAATCTACGAACGGCACCAAAAAAAGGAGCAGATGAGTTTTGTTTAGAGATATTTTCACCATCCAACTCAGAAATCCAGCTTCAAGAAAGCAAAAATCTTAGCTACTGACATTAGGTGTGGTGTGAGCACTAACCCATTTTGCAGTGACAGAAATGGGTGAAGATGGCACCCTGATGTGCTTCAACAAAGCAAGATCGTCGCAATCTGGTGGTGATTGTGGCCGCTGCATGCTCTGCAACTCATCAATATTATCTTTCTCTTCTATTACATCTTCCAGCTTCCACTCTCCACTTTCAATTCTCTTCAATTCCTCCAAAACCACATCCATGGGGGGTCTCACTTCCTTGTTCTGTTGCAAACATAGAAATGCCAACTCTGCAACCGCAGTTGTCATCCTTTTAACTTCTTCATCTGATTGGTATCCAAGTAATGGATCGACCAGCTCTTCAAATGCGCCTTTTTTAATCCTGTTTACTGCTAAGTTTGCCAGATTAATCTCATGTCTATGCCTATTTAAATCCACAGCAGGCATTGATGAAATGAGCTCAATCAGAACAACTCCAAAGCTATATACATCACTCCTATCAGTTAGTTGATAACACTGATAATACTCAGGATCAACATAGCCAGGAGATCCATGAGGAGCGGTTGAGACATGAGTAACATCAACGGGGAACAATCTGGAAAGCCCGAAATCAGCTACTTTTACACAAAAATTATTGTCCAGAAGGATGTTGTTAGTTTTCACATCCCTGTGTATGATGTCAGATGCATGGAGGTAGGCCAATGCACTAGCTGTTTCTATTGCAATCTTCATTCGAATAGGCCATGTTAATGAACCGGGCTTCACTAGATCACCATGGAGATGATCTCCAACAGTTCCATTGGGAACATATTCATACACAAGAAGCAGACCCTGCTGACAGTGCGGTGAAGTGCAGCCATAAAGGGACACAAGGTTTTTGTGGCGCAAACGTGTGAGGATTTCAACTTCATTCATAAACTGCTCAACTCTTCTGTAATTGTGCTCATATAAACGCTTGATCGCAACTTCTCTTCCATCTCGAATTTTTGCTGAATAAAAATAAATAGGTCATTTAGCAAACTGTCAAGCATCCCAGTTTGTTTTTTTATTTTTTTTTTTTTGTTTTTTTTTTTTAGCAAGTATATATGAAGTGTTTTTCCAATTTCTTACCGTAGTATACCGATCCAAAGCCGCCATCTCCAAGTCCTCTCTCATGACTAAAATTGTTTGTTGCTTTTGCAAGTTCAGCATAGGAGAATATGGGGATCCCAAAATAGGCCCCACCCACTTCCTGCTCTGATCTTGGCGAGGGATCGGAAGAACAATCTCTTGAGTTGGAATATGTGGGAATATATTTTTGTTTCTTGCGATGCCACCAAATAAAAAAGGACAGAGTCATAATCATAACAGATCCTCCAAGTCCAAAACCTAATGAGCAGAAGGAAACGACTATAAACTTTTTTACCATAAAACTTTTCTTTGGAAGAAAACTACAAAATACTAATCGAATATTTATCGTTGTAGGTTCCAGAGAACATTCAAGAGGTATTTTACCTATTCCTAGGCGTAGCTTCAAATCAGATTTTCTGTTTCCTGTAACAGAAGTGACAGACAAAGAAATGGTGTTAGTTCAGACTATAAAAAACTGTGTAATCATAGCTGTATCATCCAAATTCTTGACAAGATTGTGCAAAGGATTCGGTTGAATAATCTCAAGTAGAAAGCTCGAGAAGATTTTGTTTTGTGAAATGGTATTAAAATCAATGCAGCGTATTTAAATCTATGAAACTTGGCAAGTAAACTATTACAACAAGAAACGAAAACCCATGCCTGTTCTTTGCTTTACAGAACAATTGAACTTTCCCTCATTATCAGTTTGACATTGCCCTCCAGCCAAAAAACAATCAAAACATTCATTTGTTACATTCACTTCCAGAGCGAATTCACCCATAAACAAATCAGAATATTCAACACTTGTTTGAGTCTTTTTCACTTGGAAATTCATAACTGTGCAGTGAGATGGAGAAGGTGGCAAAGTTTTACCAGGGTAACTATGGTAGATATAGGAGTGTTGGGAATTATTGCAGGCAGAACTGAAATATTTGGGGGGTTTGTAATTGCGGGGGCATTCGTACAGGGATTGATTGTAGGGCACATCAAAAGATAGAAAAGGAGAGATGGGAAGACTCAATTTTTTCAAGGATATGTCGCGCCTACAGTGATTCTTGTACTCTTCAACAGGACGGTCATAAAGCTTAACCATATTATCCTGAGAGATGCCTGTGGTATAAAACCACTGGCCATCCTTCCCCAACCGAATCTTCTGAACATTTTCAGTGCAGTTATCTACAACCAGCAACCCACACTCTGGATGCGTTCGATTGGAGAAGGGGAAGCCAATAATGCCAAGATAACCACAATCAAAACGAGGACACCTTGGATTAAACCTCTTTTCTTCTAGAGCCAAGCAGAGAAGTAGAAGCAAAAGAAAAGAGAAAACAAAAAACAGAATGTAAGAGAGACGAGCCATTCCAGAGTTCTCCCTACTTAGAAACAGAAATGACAACAGGATCAACTGCTGCTACTTCAACGTCTTGGCACTCACTTCCTTCCCAATATAAAGCTTGAGTTGCTTAATCCATCCAAGCACGCCAGATGACTTGGTAATTGCGTAGAGAAGACTTTAAGAACTATAAAAGACTTTGACCCTTTTGACTACTCTGTAAAAGCCTTTTTGATGGGTCTCAAGTTGTCTTGCCTGCAACTTGGTTAACGCGTCTGGATATAGAGAAAGGAGAAATCAATAACTACGATTAGAAAATTCATAATGTGAACATATGGCAAACTTTAGTGATGTTTTTGTTTTTTCTTTTGATAAGTCAAGAATAGGGTGTGAAAAGAGAAAAAGAGATTTGACAGAAGTCTCAATCAAAGGACTAAAATCCTCCACTATAACACAGAAAAGTAGGCCATGATTGGAACATTTACAAGATACGAACACTAGTATGACAGTTGCAGAACCAAAAAGAAAAAGAAGTAGCTCCATTCACTATGAATTTACAATGTACATTCTCTCTTGCTTTGACCTACACATATTGTATATTTACTTCTATGAACATCGCAAAAATAAGAGCAGATGAGCTCAAAGACAAAAATCCAGCTTCAAGAAAGCTAAAATCTTAGCTACTGACATTAGGTGTGGTGTTACTACTAACCCATTTAGCAGTCACAGATATGGGTGAAGATGGGACCCTGATGTGCTTCAACAAAGCAAGATTATCACAATCTGGTGGTGATGGTGGTGGGTGGATATTCTTGGGCATATCATTATTATCTCTCTCTTCTTTTACATCTTCCAATTGCCATTCTCCATTTTCAATTCTCTTCAGTTCCTCCAAAATGACATCCATCGGAGGTCTCATTTCCTTGTTCTGTTGCAAACATAGAAATGCCAACTCTGCAACTAAAGTTATCATCTTTTAACTTCATCTGATTCGTATCCAAGTAATGGATCGACCAGCTCTTCGATTGCGCGTTTTTGAATCCTGTTTACTGCTAAGTTAGCCAAATTAATCTCATGTCTGTGCCTGTTTATATCCACAGCAGGCATTGATGATATGAGCTCAATCAGGACTACTCCAAAACTATATACATCACTCCTATCAGTTAGCTGGTAACCAGGGCCGTCTCTAGAATATTTGTGGCCCTAGACAGGAGTTACTTTGGGACCCTCTAATAATATAAGCATATATTAAAAAAAATTATTCTTTTTCTTTTTTTTTTTTTTTTTTTTTGGCCTTTTGAGATGAAAAATTACTAGGAGGTGGACAGCAACCGGCAGGCTAACAAGGTTAAGGTGTTGGTGGGGGGTTTTGGGAGAGTAGATGTTAGAGAAGTGGGTGGTGAAATGGGTGATTCCATGCCAGATTGATAAGAAATGCTTGAGAAGTCACGGCCCAAAAGGTATCGAGGGCGGGATGGCAGAGTAAACAGATAGGGATGATAGGGGTTTGGTGAGAGGGTGAGGGGGAAGATGGTGGTGTCGGGAAAGGCCAACAATGTCGCGAACATGCCAAAAAGGCTAAAATGGCTGTCGTGTGGTGGAGTTGGGCTGCGAGATTCATAAAAAATTAGTCAAATCGAGGACTATCAAGGTTAGGAAATGATAAAAATGATGATTTTCGGTCGATTTTAGGAGAAAATTGATGGAACCAAAATGACCGAAATCAACTCCAAACCACTGGCGGCAGAAGAGGTTGGAGATGATTATGTGAATTTCAAATTTTGGGATTGAATTAGGGGTGAGTAATTTGAGATATGTAAATAACTATTTTAGTCTTCCTATTTTAAAAGAGATTCAATGTGTTAATTTAGGGGATATAAACTAGAATATAAAACTAGAGGTACAAAATGCTATTCGTTAAACTTTGGGTGGGAATATATGTAAAAAGTTTATAATAAATTTGGGCTTTTTTGGCTTTTTTTTTTGGGCCTTGGCTTAGATAAGAAATTATAAACCATTTTCATTTTTGTTAGATATTCAAAAAAAAAATATATGGGTCCCCATTTTGTTGGGGCCTAGGCAGGTGCTCACTGCCTACCCTTAAGCCAGCCCTCTGGTGACATTGGTGATACTCGGGGTCAACATAGCCTGGAGATCCTTGTGGGCAGTTGAGACAAGTAGTAACATCAATGGGAAACAATCTAGAGAGCCCGAATCAGCTACTTTTACACAAAAATTATGTCAAGAAGAATGTTGTTAGTTTTCCATCGCGGGTGTATGATATCTGAAGCATGGAGGTATGCCAATGCACTAGGTTCTTATAGCAATCTCATACGAATAGGCCCAGTTAATGAACCGGGCTTCACTAGATCATCATCGTGGAGATGATCTGCAACGGTACCATTAGGAACATATTTATGTTAAGAAATATGGGTTATTTTGTTTATGTTATTAAGGGGGTAGATTTGTTTTTCATTATTTCCTTTGTTAGCCTATATATATATTATCTTTGATTTAGGTTAAATCATACTTTTTGTATTCAATTGAATTGTGCAATATTAAAGAACCCTAGCCTCCTCTTTTATTATTTTCGGATTGTTTAACATGGTATCAGAGCAAAGTTTCATGGGACGAGGCTTAATCTTAAACACAGCTTGCGGGATCCAAATGGTATTTCGTTGGTATTCATTCAATTTCGGCAATCTGGTATTTCGTTTCCTTTCTTTTGCATTCTGGTTTCTTTGTTTTTTTTTGAATAGGTACTGAAAGAGACGATTCGCTTCAGTCTGTAAGTGTGAGGTTAGATGACAAGAATTATTCGTATTGGAGTTATGTGATAAGAAATTTTCTTAAGGGTAAAAAGATGTGGGGATATGTTAGTGGAACTTCTGTGAAACCTAAGAATACTGAGGAGGGTTATGATGCTTTGATAGATGCCTGGGAAGCAAACAATGCAAAAATTATTACTTGGATTAATATTCTGTGGGCATTCCATAGGTACACAGTTAGCGAAGTATGAGACAGCAAAAGAGGTTTGGGATCATCTACAAAGGTTATTTACTCAGTCAAATTTTGCAAAGCAGTATCAATTGGAGAATGCAATACGAGCTCTTCAGCAGAGAAAATATGAGTGTTCATGAGTTTTATTCTGCTATGACAGATCTTGGGATCAATTGGCTCTTGCAGAATCTGCAGAATTAAAAGCATGTGGTGCCTTATTGCTCATAGGGAGCAGAACGGTTGGTCAGTTTTTAACGGCACTTCGTAGTGATTTTGAAGGACTTAGAGGTTCAATTTTGCATCGTTCTCCAATGCCTTCTGTTGACTCAGTTGTCAGTGAGGTTATTGGCTGAAGAAATACGTCTTAAGTCTCATCTGAAAAGGGAATTCTTTCTGCTTCGACTTCTATCCTTCTGTGTTGCAGTACCTTCGAAGCCAGTCTTTAATAATCATAATAAACCTTACACAAGGGTTGCCTTCGACGAGTGCAGTTTCTGTAAGCAAAAAGGTCATTGGAAGGCTCAGTGTGCCTAAGTTGAGACAGCAGAATCAATCGCAGCAGCAATCTCAAGCTTGGAAGCCTGGCAACCAGTACAATCTAATGCTCATAGACCACCTCAGGGTTACAAACCACCACAGTCTAATACTACAGAGTAGTTTCATCAAGTCTTCACCACTAGTACTCTGGCTGAGCAATTTCAGAAGTTTCTCTCCTTACAGCCACAAGTATGTCGCTTCTTCTTCCGTAGGTCAGTTACCTCATAGTTCTTCAGGATGACCATTCTGTATGGGTTTGGATTCTGGTGCTTCAAATCATATGTCTCCAGATTCTTCATCTTTGCTTCTGTGTCCCTTGTTTCTATTCCTGTCATGACTGCTGATGGCATCTATGCTTTAGCAGGTGTTGGTTTGTTTCACACCTACTTGTCTCCTCTAATGTTTATCATATTCCAAAATACATTAAATCTTGCTTCTGTTGGTCAGTTATGTGATTCTGGTAATTTAGTCACCTTTTCCTCTCTCTTCTGTTTAGTGCAGGATTACAGTCTCAGAAGCTGATTGGGACAGGCCGTAGGAAGGGGGGACTATATATTTTGGATGAGTTAAAAGTGCCAGTTGCTGTTGTGCTACTAGTGTGATGCTGCCGCTACTAGTGTTGATTTGTCTTCTTCGTTTGAGTCCTTCTTCTTCTAGTTTTTATTTATGGCATTCTCGTGTAGGTCATGTTTCGTCTTCTCGTTGAGATTTTGGCATCCACAAGGGCTTTAGGAAATTTGCAAACTTGTGATATTTCTGTTGTAGGGATGTAAACTGGCAAAATTTTCAGCTTTACCTTTAATCGAAGTATTTCTGTTTCTTCTCTCCATTTGATTTGATTCATTCTGATGTATGGGGACCTTCTCCTGTTGCCACAAAAGGAGGGTCTCGAATTATGTTTCTTTTATTGATGATCATACTGTATTTGTTGGGTTTATTTAATGAAACATCGTTCTGAATTTTTTGAGATATATACAGCCTTCGAGTCTTGTCAAAACTCAACATTCTGCTATTATCAGATGTTTTAGGTGTGATTTGGGTGGGGAATACACTTTCTAATTTTTTGAGTTGCTTGCATAGATGGAACTGTTTACCAACCTCGTGTACAGATACTCCTGAGCAAAATGGTGTGGCTGAAGAAAACATAGGCACATTGTTGAAATGCTCGTTTCTCTTATTGTTTCTTGTTCCTAGTGTGTTTTGGGGTGAAGCTGTTCTTACTGCTGTAGGTTTGATTAATACAATTCCATCTTCTCATATTTCAGGTTTTCTCCTTTCGAAAAGTTGTATGGGTATGCCCTGTTATTCTTCCTTAAAGTTTTTGGTTGTACTTGTTTTGTTCTTCGTCCTCATGTAGAACGCAGCAGTTGTCCTCTCGATCTGTTATTTGTGTCTTTCTTGGTATGGTAAAGGTAAAAAGGGGTATCGTTGTTTTGATCCAATAACTCAGAAACTTTGTGTTCGTCATGTTGTTTCTTGGGCATATACCTTTCTTTTCTATCCATCCACTACTCATACCTTGACTAGATCTGATAATTCGTATAGATCCTTTTCTGAGGATTCTGTAGTTGTCATCTCAGGTTCCAGTACTGATCATTCTGCAGTACTGACACTTACTCTCAGCACAACTGAAGCTCCCTCTTCTCCTATGGTCACTAAGCTTCGTTGAGATTGGGGATCCACCTTACGTCAAT